TAGGCGTGTTAGGGAATATTCAGAGCTCTTCAATCCATCATAGCTTGGAAAATTGTAGAAAGCCTCATAAATATGATTTTCTTCTTTTATTTATAAGATTTCTTGGAATTTTCAACAGTGGATCATATGAAAAAGAATTTATAAGAAATCTATCTCTATTATATCTATTTTACGAATACAGTTTCAGTAACCATATATGATTGTTTGCTTTAACTTCTAGAATATTTAATTTGCTCCTTATCAATGAAAAATCACAGTAAATTGAATGCAACTATTGCTCCTATGAAGCTTTTTACAAAATACTCCTTAACATTACGAATAAATTTCGTCTTTCTTTCTATCTCTCTTTCTTGTTGAACAAATACGCAATTCTTTTCTGACGATTGTGCATACCATATATTTTTCTAAAAAAATTTTAAAATGAACATTTTATTCGAATTTTTCCTAAATATCGATCTTTACAAAAAGTGACACAATTAACTTCTTACTTTGTGATTTCTAGGTTCTTTGTTTCAAACGAAGTTTCACCAGCTTTCAGGCACAATAAAGTCACTAATTTTTTAATGGCTAAAGATTTATTACTTTAAAGACAGCCACACACAACATAAAAAGAAAACTAACTACGATATATTTAATTTTAATTTTTATTAACACCATTTTGTTTCTATGCTCACCAACGTAACCGCCATCCCGCTCATTCCGATATGTGTGTGTGTGTGTTGCCTCTCTATGTCTCTGTCTCCTCTGTCTGATTTCGATGGCCGCGCCACCTATAAAGTTTTTAAATGCCAGGAGATTCTTATACACCTGTCTGCAATTTCAAGAAATAGAAAACCTTCCACAGAATTAGTATTAATAGTTTGGATTTCGTATTCACAGTGTATTTGAAATAGGAAGCAAATAAAATTGTATATATATATATATATATATATATATATATATATATATATATATATATATATATATATATATATATATATATATATATATATATATATATATATATATATATATATATATATATATATATATATATATATACATATATATATATATATATATATATATATATATATATATATATATATATATATATACATATATATATATATAATGCCCTGAAGAACTGGACCATAAATAAATCAAAAGCTATTAAAGATTAAAGGCTTGGGAATTATAACATATAAATGAATTTTATCTATCTATCTATCTATCTATCTATCTATCTATCTATCTATCTATCTATCTATATATATATATATATATATATATATATATATAATTTTATTTGTTTTTATATTTGTATATATACTGTGTAAAAAAGGAGAAGAGGATACTAAGACTTCGTGTAATGCGTAAATGTATAGCTAAATTGTATTCTACTGAATTAATATTTAGGGCTTCTTCTGATAGTAGTTTTACGTGATAAATACTTTTTTAAAAAATAATATCTATCACTTTCATTTTTTTATATGTAACATACATTCATTTTTAGGTTGCAAAAAAATTAAAAGTACTCTTTTGAGGTTCGATGTAGTGTCTATTCACAACTCATGATACAAGGTAAGATGAGTAATAATATTGTTTTCTTTCTTAATATATTTTTAAAATCATCCTATTTGCTTTATAGATTCTTTTTTCTTCTGTAGAATGCCTAGATGAATATATACAATAGAAGGAATTTCAAAAAGGACAAGCCTTAAAAAAAAAAAAAAAAAAAAAAAAAAAATTAGAATAGAGGTGTGTGAGAGATTGTCTGTCCACATAAAGTTCGTCACAATGCGATTTCTGGCATTTTGCGAAAACTAGACATTGACTGATTCAAAAAAAAAAAAAAAAAAAAAAAAAAGACGGGACAACCAAAATAAAAATGATTCGTAATAAAAGAGGAATTTTCCTGGAGCTTAGAAAAAAAGGTGCAATCATTTCAAAGGTCAAAACATAAGCAGAACTAACACGTCTTCGGGCAAATTGTATACAGCAGTATCAAAAAGGTCCAAAATTTTCCAGTTCAAAAAGAGAAAACATCATTTGAAATGTACAAAGACACACATAGCCAAACGATTGTATTGGGCCAAAGGTCACATGTCATGGACTACTAAATAGAATTCTGTCATATTCCCAGATGAGAAGGAATTTAATTTAAATGATCCTGATGTCTATCAATACTATTGGCATAATTTTAAGGATGTCAAAAAATCTTACTCAACTCTGCAATGGGAGGAGGAAGTTTGATGGTGTGGTTAACCATTGACAATGGAGGAAGAACTAGTCGAGTGTTTTTGTAAGTGAAAGGCAGAACTATCAAGATGCAGGTGTTGGAATCGGAGCTTCTGTTTGCGTCACCATTAGGCGGACGAGACGGTACATTAATATACACAACAAATGCTGCTAAAAATTTATTCTTTTCAAGTAATATGCTAGTTTTTCTATTATCAGCGGAAAGCCTTGATATAATAAGAATTATAAAAATATTCAAGGAATGCTGGTTCGATAGATATATGGAGAAGGAAAGATGTTCGAATTCATCTTTATACTTAAGAATGCGCTCAAACACGTTCGAAATAATTTCTGTCAAACTGAAATCCAATCACTGTATGATTCGATGTCAAATAAGAGTTTTTTGAAGTGATAAATGCAAATAGGAGAAAAAAAAAACACTTGCTACTTAGTTATTGGTTATCATTCAAAAGCTTCAGTTTCCTATTTTTTTTTACAAGTGAACGTAAAATAAAGATAAATTGAAAAAGTTTGATAAATGGAAAAATTCTCAATTCAACTGTTTTTTAATTCCTACTTTTTATTCACTCTCTCTCCCTATATATATATATGAAAGAAATTTATATAATATAGCAAAAACAAGAAATAATAGTTAATGAACATAACAAGAAATAAAGTAATAGAAATATAAAAGCTAAACATAAAGACCTAATTTATAGAAAAATACAAAAAAGGAACTACAAAAAAGAACTTAGTGAGTCAGAAATCAATTTCGGACTTAGGACCGAATAAGTGAGGTTAAACTAGTTTGAAGGTGCCAACGTTCCCCCTTTGCAACTCGGTAGAAAAAACCAAATAAAATAAACAAAAATTCAAAGTGTATAAAAATTTACAGTAAGTATGATAAAACCACAGACTACTATTCTGCAACAAGTTCTCCCAAAATCTTAAAGAAGAAAAATCCTAAAACAATTACGTAAGAAAAGTAGAAAAATCCTAAAACAATTATGTAAGAAAAGTATTTTTCAAAAAAGAATTGAACAAAATTTCTTTACCCACAGAGCTTTTTCCAAGAGAATCGAGTCTTGAAATTAATGAAAAGCAATTATTCACCGAGTTAAAAAACCTGAATATACATAAACGCTTCTTTTGAACTATCCTTTAAACTAGCCAGCAAAGATAGATACCAAGAGAGATGACAATCAAATTTGGTAGGCTATGAAGTGGTTGATTGTCAAAAATGTAAATTTGCTAGGCTCTAATTTGATTGGTTGCCAAAAATTTGTATGTTCAAGATGTGTGTGGAAAAGATGTAAACTGTGTGAGAAGATTGTTATAATATAATCTTCACAGCAAGACCACTAACATATGCTGACTTTGAAATTCTATTGTTGTGTGGAGGATTTGAAATTAGATGTAGCAAGACGATTAATGTATTTGTGATGAATATAAGTTTTAAGAAGTCAAAAGAGTAGTCATGATCTAAACAACATTAAAAATTGTTTTTGACATTATTGAATTTATCTATTTTGTGTGAAGTTAAGTTATTATTTCTAAATAAAAAATTCAAAATAATATTTCTGTAAATTGATAAATGCAAGTTACTATTCCATACAGGAATTTTAATTACATGAAACTTAAGAGAATCTCTTTTGTCAAAAATGTTACATTATTGTTAATAAGATGCAAGTCTAAATCCAAGAATTCTACCATATTAGAGTTAAAGTTAGTTTTAAGGAGGTTGAGATAGTCATATATATATATATATATTTATATATATATATGCGTGTGTGTGTGTGTATAATAATTCTCTCCAGCATCCTTTTTATAATTAACTCTTTCTTAATAATCTTTAAATAACTTTTAATACTTTGGTTCAAAATTAAAAAATAAACGCGTCAATCTTAATCGTGATCAAATAGTATTATTACACCAGAAGAATTTCTTTCCCACCCGTTTTAACCAATCACATCTCTTGTTACAAAGGAGTCACGCAATCTACACTGCCGTTATAAAAGCGAAAGACTTTTGTGCTCATCCCTCTTTGTCTTTGTGTTCGTCCTGTAAAATGTTGCTGCTGATTGTTGCTTCTGCTATAGGTGTAGTGTCGTCCATATCTTGTTTATTGTTTAAGATGTGAATGTTTGTGTGTCTCACCATGTTTAATAAACAAGATTTCCTGCCACCAAGGACTGCCTCATCAATCCCCTCAATATAGAACATCAAGCATCATAAATAATCGTGGACTAATCTACATACAAGTAACCAACATAAATAGGCCTCGACAATGCTATATATATCTTGTTCAAATTTTCAATCGTTAACAAAATACTTTCTATTCATCCATTCAAGTTCAAATACATTTTTTAAAACTTGTACTGGATAGACACTTGACGTTAATACAGTTTTTTCAATGGGGGGAGTGAGTGACATGAGGGCTTTTGGTGACGGACCTCGTAATTTTGAACCATGGTCAAGTGGTGAGGATGACACCTGAGCTGGCACCCTCCCTCACCTAACTACCGCATCCACCAATAGGAGGACGCTTGAGCTCTCGACAGATTTAACGTGCATCGCTCCCGTACACGGCGAGTCTTTAGTGGTACTGGGCTTGAACTCATGACATGCCTGCCATGATCCGATAACTTAACCACTGGGCTACCGCATCCCCCCAGTTTTTTCGAACATTAATTCATCAATTAAATTAAAAAATGAATAAATAGTGACACAGAAAAAAATAGTCTGAAAGCATATATAGGAAAGAAGATCGTTCGTTTTTTGTCTCAGTAGCGCAATGGATACCGCGTTGGACTTCTAATCCAAAGGTCGTGGGTTCAACTCCACCTGAGATGGCCTAATTTCTGAGAATGTTATTTTTTTTTACTATACTATTTCAATAGAATGGTTAAATTTAATTAATGAATAAATAGTAACAAACAAAAAAAAGTAGTCCAACATCATATATAGAAAAGAAAATGGAAAATTACAAAGAAAAATCGCTTTCTATTTTGTCACTTTATATTATGATTCTGTCATATGTATATCTATATTCATTGTAACTATCTAATAAAACGCAGCTAAAATAAAAGTTTTCCTTGTTGTCCTAAGCATATGAATTGACTGAATTTTTTTTATATTACTTGTTATGTTCATTTAATCAAAACATTATTGTCAAGGATTTCTGAATAATAATAAAATATGACTTTATTTTTCTTTAAAAATTCAAATGTCTTTTTCCTTCCTACAGAGTGAAAATACATATATATAATTAGCAATAAATTTTCATGTTTTTTTTCTTCTTTTCAAGAACTCCCATGATGTTTGAATACATTATTTCTTACCCAACAGAATATCAATCGCATAAATAAACTCTTCATTAAAATCTATTTAAAGTGTGTGTGAATATTAATTCTCTAAAACTTATGAATCTTGATATCTATATTATTAAAATAAATCACTTAGCTATTCCAGACGCATCGATAACTATAATTTACCCGAACGTGTACACCAGATTGAAATCTTCAGTACAAATGAAACACTGTACTGAAAGGGTTAATTCAAAACACGTTTTCAGTTGAATAAACTAATCGGTAATTAAATTCTGTAAATGTTATTAACTCGTAAAGAAGCATTAAAAATAGCTTAACAAGCACAACTCTAGAAACTAATTTAGAGAAAAGCAATTGCTCAAAGAGGGGAGAATAAGAAAAGCAAGCTTATTAGCAATAATAAATTACTACTTTTTTTCAAGTATATTCTTTACGCGGAAAACTATGCAATGGGAATTAAATGGATTACATAATGAACTAACATTAAAAGCCCTCGCCAACCACATAACATGTAATTTTGTTCAATATTTCAATGTGACTAGAACTGCACATCAGTTCGACAGTGTCAATTATATAACAGTGACACCCCATGAAATGCCGTGTTCTTGTCTCTGCTGGATTTGACAGACAAATCGATAACAATTATTGCTCTGTAATTACTCGTTTGGCACTTGGATGAATTAGTTTCACTTATCATCACTATTTGGTATTTGCTGATACGTTTCGAGTGTGAGAGGACAAGATAGTTGAAATGACAGCAGCAATCTTATTCGATTAATGCATAGGTTCTCAAACTTTTCTTGCCTCATAGACCCCTTGCCAAATGTTTCGGTTCGGGGTAGGACCCTGCTTACCTAATATTGAATTTTTACAAATTTACCAACTTTAATGTCTTTTTGACGATTGGTATTACTACTTACTTTAAAGGAATTAAATTTCTAACTGTGATGAAGTACAGTGTCTAGAACTAAAGAGGCACATGTCAATTAATTAAAAATTTAATTAATACGTAAAATAACTGTTACATAAAATAATTGAACAAAAAACAAATGTTTTTAATGAGAGGGGTGAATTTGATGCTTTAATACAGTGTTTCTCAAACTGTGGGGTGCACCCCCTAGGGGGGGCGTCATAATCCTAAGAGGAAGACGCGAGCCTCTTGAAAAGTTGAAAAAAAATTCTTTCAAAAATTATTAACTTACTGAAAGTAAACAAACAAATACATTCTGACATAATAAAAAATAAAATACTCATTTGCGATATAATACACTTATAAATGTATCAATAGTGCACAATCTATTTTATAATAAACTTAACAATACTAAGTTAAGGACAAGTTTAATAGTTACCAGTGACCCTATGGATTTGTCATAAATAAAGTTATATGCCAACATTAACACTTATCTTGATAGTTTGTGTGCGGTTTGTAATTAATCTCTTAAATGTCGATTAAAAATTATGCGATTCGCTCTCCAGTACCCCCCTTTCGCACGTAGGTAAGCGTATGTGGTGTTTTGAGGGGGTAGGTGGTAGAAAAGGAATAAATAATGAAATCCTTTGAAATAAGTGAATCCTTCGCAAACACTGTCAAGGTCATTTTATTGCTTTCTTAAGCCTTCGGAATAATTTTATGGATAGCAGTTCTCAGAAAAGATATAACTTCGAAAAGACGTATATATACGTCTGTGGGCAATAAACACAGTGGCTAAACGAGACGTTTATATACGTTGGGGGCTTAAGAGGTTTAAGTTGTATTGTATGTTTAACGTCACAATATTATTGAATTTAATACATCGCTATGGTATAGAGGGGGCGCGATGCAAATTATGATTGGATATTGGGTCGCAAACACTGGAAGTTTGAGAAGCACTGCTTTAATAAGAAATTTTCAATATTTAGCATCAGTCTTGTCAGGTTTAACCCTAAATCTCCTCTATTAGTAGTGTCCAGTTCCCCTCCCCCTTCTTTTTTTTTGTTTTGGAGATTGGCAATCGCGCTGAAACTCCTCACTAAGAAGAGTAATTAAAATCTTTCTCACGATGTTCCAGAATTCGTAACAAATAATAGGCATGCCTTTCTTTAATGCCGAAATTGACATTTTTTTTCAATGTGACCATATGAATTCAATGCCTACTGTGGCATTACCTTACTCAAGACACTCTCAAACATAGTTTCAAAATCTGAATAGAGGGCATATAAATGCTGAACGTAGGTTAAAACGTCCTGAATAATTGCATGTCTGTGAAAAATTGAGAAATCGAGAAAATTCGGGACTTTCATTATTATACTTCTTTAGCTTAATTCTGGAGAGGAACGCTGAAATGGTCTTTGTTTTAATAAAATTTAGGCTGTCACCCTGGTAACTGCAAATTAACATTAAAATCACGATCTTGCCTCATGAGAACTACTATTCTAGATCCCCATTTACACCTCATGGACCCCCAAATTATTTTTTCGTCATAGACCCCTGGGGGAATCATTGGATTAATAGAAAGAATAGCAATAGATTATAATTAATTTTAAAAAAAAAGTATTAGAGATTTCTCAAGAATCAAGCTATTTCAGATTTATTCGATGCTTTTTAAAATTTGGAATCCCAAACTATTCTTTTTTATACAATTGTTCAATTCTTTTTATTTCTTCAAGAGGCTTACTTTTGTTTTGGTTGCTGTACTTAGCATGATTCTTGTTTAGTTTCACCAAATTTTTCTCAAGTAAGCCAATATTCCTTCATCGGAGTTGCCTACTACAATGCGTTCATAGTGGAACGAATTGCCTATTCTAATCTAGTATACAGTGACGTTAGGAAATTGAATAAAAAAATCATATTAATGTTTTGAAGTGAAGGGAGTGGCGTTTTGTTGTGTATCTTATTGTAGCTTTTATAAGATTTCGTTAAAAGCTATTATTTCTTCTATATCTATCAAATCAGTGATTATTTTTGTGATTTTAGCTGATATTTATTTTGTCTTATATTCCCTCTACACAAAAATCTGAAAATTAAAATTATGAAATATTATATATATATAAACTATTTAACATCTATTCCTTTTGTATAATTAACTGGCTATATGTAAAGGCTAGCAGAATTTATATAGAAATAAATCTGTACTTCATATTTTGTCTTTCGTATTTTAATAAAGCATTTGACTTTATCTAGCTATTATTGCATTGAATCAAAACAACGTAATTTTAATATATTAATTATATGCATTGGGTTTTTATCCGCAACTAAGAAGGTACTGTTAAACTCTCAATAGAAAGGACGTCACTTTTCAGAATTTTATCGTAATCATATAATATATACGAGTATATATACACGCAGTGTTGGTCCATCTCTAATCTTGATACCATCTAGTATTGTCTGAAAATTGACACGCAGGGTTAGTGAATCTCTTTCTGTTGTATTGTCTACTATGCATGTTTCAAAAAGCGAGTTAAACTACTTTTTTCCAGATATCATCGAAGATGCCTTCTCATCATAGCCTAATCATGCTTTATTGGAGTGAGATCTGGCTATCGTGCTAGCCAAGGAATTGTGAGAGAAGTACAAAGACAGACAGTACAAAGACGGGTCTTCTACGACTGGTTATTATCCTGCCGAAATATAAGCCCATTGGTTTGGGAAAGGGTGACGCTACGGGACACACAATCTAGATGAGGTACTTCTGTGTTTTTGGATGTCATGGATGGCAATCTAAGCGATCCGACTCTTAAATAAAAGGGCGCCAGATATCATAGCTGCTGGTTGTCAAGCTGTATAGAAGAAAATAATCAAGTGAGTATCCCACTGCTGTCCTGAACACCTCCAGACATATCCTTGTTCCTCGGGGCTCTATTAGAAGTGAGACTCATTGCTGAAAACCAAATTTTCCACTCCAGTACATGAGAGGGAGAGTTATATTATTGTCGCACTCTAAGGCAACTTGACAGCTATTGGCGACAGACCTCGTAATGCTGATTTGAGGTCAAGGGACTAGGATGAAACTTGAGACAGTTCCTCCCCTCTCTAAATTACCCCACCACGCCAATCCGGTACGTGCAATTCCAAATCAAATGCGTCTAACACTACTTCACACGCGTGTAGCGGTGTGCAACGATTAGGGGTAATCGTCAGAATAACCTCCTTGACCTTAACCTTCAATTATCTGAGTCGCTTACAGCTGGTCAATTATGGCATACTATAAGTTTTCGATTTCATATATATATATATATATATATATATATATATATATATATATATACATACATACATACATATATATATATATACATACATACATACATATATATATATGTATATATATACATATATATATGTCATGATTTTTAAGATAGAATCAGATTAAAGTTAGAAAAGTGAAAAGACGACCTTTATTCTTTCATTTGTACATCTGTTCTGGTACTTAGAGCAGGGAGGAAAAAGCACGCCATGGTGGTGGTTTCAAGTGGATAACACTTGAAAAACATATGGTATGTATCGCTGCTTTGAAGAGGTTGCTTGCAAGTTAATGCTGACATAT